TCCGATTAGTCGACGCGATTCCGATCGGCCACGTCGATCGCCACTTCCAAGCTTTTCCTTTGTATCGTCGGTGCTAGTCGCGTGGAAAATTCGAATGGCCGTGCCTTCCATTCGATCGTTGGATCCCTGTTTTCTTTATGAGTGGTTCCAGTGTAACGGATCGACTCCTTCTTTTCTTTTTTCTTCTTCACCGTAGGTTTCATTCAGTTTAAAAAATATTAACTTTTCAACCATGGAAAATCCTGCAACGTAATATGCATAATGTATTTGGGACTCGAACTAGAAGATGACAGGTTCTCTGATATTTATGTTTCCTGATAGAAATTTTTTGATACAAAAGATCGACGCATGGAAGTGGTCGAGATGATTCGTTCTGTTAATAAAATTATGCTAATTCTCTAAACTCTCAGGCTTGGTATTTATAGTTGCTGATAATTTTTGGACATGAAAGAGCAGGATATTTTTGTCCGAAGTTGTTGCGTCAATAAAATTATGTCGAGCAACTTTCTAAACTTTTACACTTGGTATTTATATTCTCTGATCATTTTTGGTTTCTAATTCTAGAAGATTACAGGTTCTTTGGCATTTATGTTTCCTGATGATTTTTTGATACAAAAGACCGAGATACTAAAGTAATCGAGGTGATTCGGTTTGATAATAAAACAATGTCGAGCAATCCTCTGAACTCTTAGACCTGATATTTATATTTCCTGATAATTTTTGGATATAAAAGACGAGAATATTTTTGTTTGAAGCTGTTAAGTTAATAAAATTATGCCGAGCAACTTTCTAAACTTTTACGCTTGATACTTCGACTTGGATCTCGTTTGGACCTGCACTTTATTTTAGACTCGGATTTTCTGATAATTTTTTGGATTTTAATTCTACAAGATTATAGGTTCTTTGATATTTATGTTTCCTGGTAGCATTTTCATACAAAAACGAGAGACATTGCACTGGTCGAGGTGACTCGTTCAGTTAATAACATTATATCAAGCAACTTTCCAAACTTTTAGACTCGATATTTATGGTTGCCGATAACTTTTAGATACAAAAGACCAAAATATTCTTGCTTGAAACAGTTATGTTAATAAAATTATGTGGAATTATTATGGACTTGATATTTGTGTTTTCTGATAACTTTCTGACATAGAAACCTTACCAAGCCATTTACGTTTGTAGTGATAATAAGATTACGTCGATCGGTTCTCTAAACTCAAAATCTCTTTTATAGTTCTCTGCTATAGCGCTAACGGGACTTAGTATTCTGTATAAAGCAACAGTATATGTAGCATCGTAGACTGATATTTTCACGTCGATCTAATATCGTGTAACTCGGTTAGATATTTCGATATTCACGACGAGTAATACAACTTTATACCGAAAATTTTGTAGGATTTAAATAATTTTCCTTCGGTTAGAATCGTCGAGATATTATCGTTTATGCGACCATGTTCCCGTACTAGAATACCGAATTAATCTCCGCACCGGCTGTGACCTTTAATTCGCTAATCTTAACGCGTATAGTTGGATCTAACACTCACCGAGCATGATCCAGATCTCTCTTGTTGCCGAGCAACAGAGCAGTGAAGTAGGATGGTAGACGTAAGTCAGCCAGTTGCTTCAGCAATCCGCGAGCTTCCTGAAAACTTCGTTTGCACGTCACGCTGTAAACGACCACGAAAGCCTCGCCCCATCGTATGTGAGAGTAAAGACAACCATTTTCCTGAAAAAGAAAGACAAACGAAAGAAAAAAGATTAGTACGACTATCGAATAGAAAGCGAGATAAAAAGCAAAATTAAATAGCGATCGAACAAACAATGACGAAGTTGCTATCAAATGTCATAGAATGTAAATGAAACGTATCAAGTAGAAAAAAATGAATCTGTTTCGATCGATTAAAGATGGTTCTACAGAGACTGAAATTTGCATAAATTCGTCTCTGTCGTAGTATTCTACTCGATATGAAAAATATCTAAGAGACTGAAAATCGTAACTAAAAGAAGGAATCTGGCGTTAAATTCTGCTCAACTTCTCGAACTTGATCGAACCATTCCACTGGACATAACGTAACACTTAGAAATTTTAGAAAGTTGGGGAAAAAATGGCGGGATAATCGTGGCAACTTTTCTCTTACGTAAGCCACAGACGAAACTGGGTCCATGTAACTTCCAGTTTTCCTCCCGCGGAATAACTTTAAAAACAAACAGAGGGAGAGGGAGAGAGAGAGAGAGAGAAAAAAAAGAAAAGAAAATTTCGATTTCACTTTCGACCCGAACATTATCTTATCCCTTCGGGAAAAGAGCTGAATTTCATTGAACCACCGTAAACGAAAAACGAGATACACGACGAGAAATAATTTTCTTCTCATTTCTACCAGTTCGAATTTTTGCATGAACGGCGCCGCTTAATTAACACGTTAATCAACATTCCTGAACGAGCGGCTGGAAAGTCCCGATCTAGATCTCGGATGGTCGCGCACGCGCGCCGTTTCACTTTGCTCTAACCCCACGTATACACACGTGGAGAAGAGAATTATAATCGAGCCCGAAGCTAGCCGGCGATTCGGCGGCGATTAAACGCCAGCAAATTGCCCGGTCGCGCGATAATTGAAATAGAAACGGCCTAAACCGGTACCCACCACGTGACCACGTTCTATTTTCGAGGCACGCTCGAGGCCTCACCTCTGACCTTCCGACCGATCGTCGATGCTCGAAACACTTCCGACCTGCTGCACCACGAGAAGAAGATCGTAGTCACTTCCTTTACGATTCTTTCAGACGTTTCGAGAATCGTGTCGTTTCGTGGAAACGAGCTTTCGCTTTATGTAGTACGCTAGTTAAAGATTCGTTTATGTTAATCTACTTTGACTCGTAATCTTTGCGATACTTCTTTAATCGAAACTAGCTAATGACTTTGATTTGATTTGCTAACCAGATTCCTCGAATCTTTGTTCTAAATATTCCACGCGTTTGTACATCCTACTCTACGGAAAATTTACAAAATCATTTCATCGAAGCTATTGTACGATCCCCAGATCCGAATATTATTATTCTGTATCGAATTTCCAAAATCTTTTCCCTCGAACAATCCTACGTAACCTAAACTATTCCTCGTCGCGTTTCTATTGTACAAAGCACTCAAATCAAATCATTCAGCACCCCACGCTCTATCTCCCGCCAAACGATCAAGCAAAGCAACGTCCAACGCGTAATGCTTCGATTCCCTAAATTCCCCAAAATTTTTGCAAAATTGTTTAAACCGTTGCTGAAGCAATTAGAAACCTGCTACCTGATCACCACTTGTACCTCCACATCTCTAACCAGCTTCGTCTTACACAACTACTCGATCGATTTCCAATTGAAAGGAAGAGAATCATCGACAGAAAGAGAAAGAGAGAGAGAGAGAGAGACCCAATTCCGCGTTCTAATTGCTAATGCATCGATCACGACGAAAAGAGTCGCGGAGCCACGTATCCTGGTGGCGCACGGCAGCGAGAAGCGTTTCAGGTTTAACGACCCGCGGAAGCTGTCGATTCTCGTAGCCGTTCCAATGCTTTCCCATTGACCTGGCACTGACAGCCAGCCGGTAATTATTACCCGGGAACAGGATCGACGAGATCGTGATCATCGACGATCGGTGTGTATAGGAAGGAAGGGTCTAAGCGCATTAGTCTCGCGGGATCGACCAAGGTGATCGTCGTGGCCGTGAACCTTTTCCATCTGCTAAATCGCCAGGCTTGGCATCTGGTCACCATAATTGGCACGATCTCGAGGACGTCTGTCACAACGGAGGAAGAGGGATTTTTCGAAGGACGCGGAAACAAACACCTGGCAGGCCGGTCAAGAATACGATGTTCGCTTGGTTGATTGATATGGGAAACGGGATGGAAGTGCTGTTTCTGCCGATTCGAAAATGATAGTGATCGAGGCTGTAATGGCTCTGTGCAGATGTCTTTTCAAGGTTAGGATAGGTAGAGGATTTGGTTGAAGGCGGCAGTGTTGAAATTTGAAGGGAGAAGGGAGAAGAAACGTCGCTACTATATTTTGGTGTAAAATTTGGAAGTTTGGTTTGGATGGACGAATCTGTTGAAGCGAAATAGGATGTTTTTAGGAAATTGGGAAACTATTAAAAATATTTGAAAATTATTCTTGAGAGGATGTTGGAAGATTTCTTTGAGAGATTAGGAAATTATTACATCGTTATGAAATTGTGATAAAAATCACTTACCGTGTGAACTAACGATCCTGAGAATTGAACGCTTCCAATCAAAACTTCAGTTTATTAAAAGAAAGTAGAAACTTGGAGATGATCGACAGTTTTAAGAACGAGATTATGGGAAAGTCAAAGGCAGTTTGGAAATACCTTGTGACGTAGGCTAATGATTAAAAAATTCACTGTTTTGATAGTTTCCTACATGTCGTAACGTTATACGTACTTCGAAGCTATGTAAATTTTGTACATCTATAAATAACTCTCTTACTACCAAGAAAATGACTTTTAGACGTAGTCAATCTTCGAATTCTTGTTTTTCAAACATCTCAATCATACCTACCTGATGTTCGAAGAATTTTCTCACACCTACGACATTTCCTTAAGCACGTTCCTACAATGATATATTGAAGGACGTTTTGACACGGTCTATTCCATGATTTACTACCCACTTCCATCCTCCATTATCCGATGTCCATGTATGCTTTCTAACCCTTTACGGTCGAGGAGGACGTTGCATTTTCCATCAGACGTCCCACTTTTTGCATGAGTCGCGTTTAACATGTCAAAATTAATTGTATCGTTTATTTCGAAGACTTTTAATTACCAACAACGAACGTAATAATTTAATGATACAGGCTATAACATACTGAAATACGAAAAAAAAACACTGGGTATAATTTCTTAAATGGGATTTATAACTGCATTTATTCTATAATATCCTCGATTCTACGTCTCAATAAATGTCATTGAAATTAGAAAATTACAACCTAGAGCAATCTTTCTAAAACTCCATTTCTGTACTACTTCAAGCTTATTAATTTTAGCGATTAAAATAGATAATGAAATATTCCTTCCTAGAAACTGCATGTCTTTTCTACCTATAATAATATAATCTTACTTTGACTTTGTCTTTCTAAATTTCTCTATTAAAATACATCAAGTCGAAAATTCAACGATCATTCGTCAAGAAGACGCGTGTACACGCCGATAGCACCGACGCGTCCATTCAATTCAAATTTTTCGAGCGTTCTACAGAAGAAATTAAAATTCTTTCCGGGCGAAATTCAAGGACGAAATTTCGCCAACGACGACCCAGTTTGCTCACAGAGGGTTAAATCTCTCATACATATTTAACGATCGATGGTAATCGGGATAGCACGTCGAATTACGCAACGCAGGGGCTCACGAGTCGTTCGTTGTGAAATCGTTTCGCATGGTGTTTGTCCATGTGGCAACGCGTATCGCTGCACTCGATAAACACTCGATATGATTCACAACAATTCCAGGAACGGACATGCAATTAATTTTACTGACGAAACGATTCGTCGACGCCGCGACAGTACGATAGGGACGATCGATTGGCCGGTTTCGTTGCTCGTTGTTTTGGAAATAGAGCGGATTTCGCAAGGATTTCGGGCGAGTTAACGGAAATGTTTTTGTTTGACATTGTTTCACCGACAATTTTCGAAGTTTTAAACATTTCGATTGGAATTCATATCGAAGAACGTAGCCGGCCAAATATTTGCTTTTTAATTGTTGTGAATGAGATCGGTATGAATGTTCCGAAAATTAAACTCTCTTCCATGTAATATTTTGCGTTTCAAACATTGTTTCGAATAATATTTGGCAATTCGAGAAATAGTTTAAACCGACACGAAATCTTGTGCATTTCACTCGTTGTGGATAGAGAAGATCGAGATGAAACGTGATTAACATATATTGGAATTAACTGTTTCAGGAATGAATATATTCTTAGAATTGCGAGAAACATTGCCTTTACAAGTTCTAGTTAATAACAGGACTGCATTTTTTCCTGGTATTTTCGAAAATAATGTGCTTTAAGATTATGGACTAGTTAGTGAATAATTTAGATTAAATGTAATAAAAATAAATATCACGCACTTCTATACCAATAATGAACCAACAACAGACCTGATCTAAACACGTTAATATAAATAATATTCCTACTAATATTTAAGAAAAACTATGACAAACGACGAAGTATTACAGAAACCTATCAACGTTTCAATTTACGCTATCTGTTATATCCTCTCGTAATCTCCTGCCAATATATTCAATTTCGCGACAGGGGACTCGTTTAGCTTATCGCTCAATCCTCTGAAAAGACCATCACAGGCTCATACTGTTCGTAAAACACGGCTGCTATCCCTAACGACCTGCCAACAATTACCGAAACGACGAAGCTTAACAAATCCCACGGCTTCGTAACGAGAAACACGGAAAGTCGTAAAAGGATCCCGTGGCTAAACGCGATCGGTGTCGGTTTTTAACTGCGTCGACCGTTAACAGGACACTCGGATAGAACGAAACGAGCGACAGACGACGGTTGTGTTGTCCATTTGAAATCGATTCAGGTGGGCGAGAGAACCGCGCGCGCTTTAACGCCCACGCGATCCCGCGGGATAAGCGACGATCGTCCAGGACAAGTTATGTCTCCGCTGCGTGTACCATCGCGTAGATAACGATCCGCAACTATTCGCGCGACCAGA